TGCCCTAAAATATAATACTTTTAGACTATTCTCTCCCCCATAGACTTCAATGCCGTAAACATATTTCATCCAGTGTTTCTTTTACATAGCACTATTGAAGTCAGATCTTCAAAAGGTTAAATACAGAGTGTCAATATAACCTCCAATTTTACTTCTAGACTAAACCAAAAGAATGAAAACAGGTATTCAAATGCTAGTGCACAAATCTTTATACCAGTACTATTCACAATAACCAAAGGGCAGAAACATACCAAATGTCCACCAACACACCCACGCATAAATTTATATACAACATGTAAAAAAACTTACATATTTTAAAAAAAAGGTACCAAAAAATTATACCCAAAGCATGATTCTAAATCCATTTAAGATCTGTATTTAAAACATGAAATTTTGTTTATTATACACAGTAAAAACATGAGCAGGAAAAAAAAGACATGTTATCAATGATTACCACCAATAGTAGCATATCTTTAATGTCTTCTTCATAATATGCTAAAGTATCTAAGTTTTCCATAAAAAAATTTTAAAAACCCATAATTTAGCTCAGCAATTCTAGAAAGAACAAGAAATGTAATATAAAAGAGATTTTCGACAATCCTTCTCATCCATTCCACCTGCTTTGATTCCCACAAATCCTTTACAGAACCAACAGAGCATTGTCACTCTTACCCAGTAGGGGAGCTGCTGGTCTGCCATGAACGCTTTGGGACTAGGTTCAGTTTTGCCATTGCTCGTCCATACTTTTTTCCATGTAGTGTATTTGTCATATCCATCTTTATGGCTGAAAAACAATAAAAGTAAATACAAGTTCTAAGTTAATCAGATTTTCCAAACAGAAGGCTGGTGCTTAGGTCACCAATTAACTAGCCATGTATTATAAAGCCAGTAATAATTGGGTGAAGACAACTGGAAAAGATTTATTCATTTCCTGAAATACCAGTACACAGAAATATTACCACAATGTACAAAATTCAGATAAACTTCATGATGCAATAGATCTATGTCCAAGGTTTATTTTCTATCAGATTGGCCACATTCTCTTCCCATTCAAATGCAAGCTGTCATGGAATATCCATTTTATGAATGGAAGAGAAACAAACAATGCTGTGTTGTCAACTTTGAAAAAAAGAGTTGGGAAAAACCCCACGTGTACCCTCCGCAAGGTTTGCAACAGTGTGCTCTTTCAGCAGATCACTTTTGAATGGACTTGAACTTCTAACTTTTTGGATAGGAACTGAGCACATTAACTGCATAATTCAGGAACTCAGTCATACTGTGAGGAAGAAGACTATGTTATCCTCACACCCATAGAAACAATGTACACAAGGATGCACTTCTATCAGTTTAAGGGTCGAAAACAGCAACCTCTGGCTTTCTGTCTAGTGCAAATTTTAGTCACGGACATCCTTCCTCCAAATCTTTACATCCAGCCTCCTAAGTCATCACAGAAGAGTCATGCATGAATATCTGTCTCCTAAGAGGCATTTTTCAAGAGCCTTAAGTATGCACATGCATAAGCACACACTTGCAAATCACAGCATCAAAGGGATCCTGCCATACTCATTATAGGAATGCCTGAAACATTCTGTGAATTCAATAAAGCCTGGAGTTCAGTCTTGACTATCTTATCCATTACCTTACTGCTACCACTGACCACCCCTCAACACACACACACACATATACATATACACAAAGCACCTCAATTGGCAAACAAACCTTCTGTAGTAATAGTCAAAGCATTCGTTACAGAAATGCTCGCCACAGGAGAGATGATACCATCTGGAGGTATAGCCATTTTTGGCACATCTGAAAAGAACAAAAAGTATGTAACTTTAGTAATGAACGTATACTTCCCACTTTAAAACAAAAATAGTTACCAAGTCCCTTCTGGAAGGTCATTTTGTTGTATCTCTCTTTAGAATCCAACAGTCAAGAGCCTTTCCCATTTGGATGGGTGGGAATATGTGAATAGGGCATGTTATCCTATTCACGCCAGGATTAGCTAGTGTCTACAATCCACAAGGAGACTGGCTAGTTTAACCACTAAACTGAGTGGATCTCAGGAGAAGGTATCTTGTCCTTCAGGACCAAAGCAATAGCCACAGCAGCCACAGTGAAGAAACAGAGACCTGACAAGAGTCTGTGCAGACCTTGCCCAATGGACAGAACCAGAACTAAGCTAAGAGCTTTTGCCCAAGTCTGTGGGAGAATTTGGGAGGCGGGAGGGAGAATACTGTCAGAACTGAGAACCTTGTTAACAGTGGCCTAAAGCCATGAGGCTCAAGGCTGAGAACACAGGATGCTGTCCTGACTGAATGCTACTAATCTGGATTACAATATTTAGACTTTCCCGACATGGAGCTGTGTGTGTTTTGTGAGTTACTGCATCAGATTTTGGAACCAGTAAAGCAGTAAAACTGGTGCTGAGATGAGCAGAAGGATATATGGGAGCATCAGGGCCATGTCTGACCTCCCGGGAATTGGTTTTGTGTTGTTCATGCTGTCGTCAGGGGCAGTCCCCTTTTGGAAAGGTTTGTGAAGCATGGCCCTTGCTCTTTTTACCCAAACATAGGTGGGTCCCTGAGAGGAATGTATCGGTTCTTCCTACTCAGTCACCAGACTTGGGAAGTACAGCTACAGTGAGATTGAGTACATCGTGCTGGCCAGCGAGCAAAGTCTGTGTGGAGATTTGCGTGTGGTCTCTCTCATTAGGGTAGGTAAAACAGAGATTAAAGTATGAAGAGAATGTTTTAGGAATATCTTTATCACCAGATATGTAAAGTAACATATATCATTAAAGTAACAGGTATCATTAGAAGATATGTCTCTGAGGATGAGAATGCTCTCAGGCAGTTATAGGAAGCCAAGACACCTACAGACCTTTCAGAAGCACTTGCAAAGCACACTGGGTATATGGAGGTGCAGCCAGCCTTCTCACATTTCCTGTACTTCTTCTCAGAGCCACCATCTTCCTCCTCATCAGTGGCCTCTGTTGCTTTCTTTTTTGCCTAGGGAAGATCCAGCTGCAGTTAAGACTGTACCAGAACTGGTCTGGTGAAGATGTTGAAGATACACTACTGAAATCACTTGGAGGTTAGGAGGAGTTCTAAATGTGAATTTGAGTAACACCTCAACAAAGGTTAAGGGCTCACACAGCAATTTTCTGAGGCAGCACTCTGCCAGTAATTTACTAAGTTTTTTGAAGAAGAAATACAATCAGCATTCTAATGATAGGTATTTTAGTAGAGAACTAAAACTGGTGTGCACCTTTCCTAGGAAAACCGCTTGCTCTATGTATCAAAATCAACAAATTTTACTTTCAAATTAAGAGTTTCTTTCTTTTTTGTGTGTGTGTTCCAAAACCCTTTATTAACAAGAACAACTAACGGTCTGCATGCAGACTTTGGAGTAAAAGCTTCATCAGATACCTTGAATGAAGATGCCATTTCTCAGCTGGGCTTGAACCAAGAGGTGACCATGCCACTAACTTTTTTTTTTTAAGCTTTATTTTTTTTTAATGATTTTAATGAACATTTACAGAGATTCTGGATTTCCATTCATTCATTGCTGCAGAGTTTCTTTCTTTACACAGAACTGTTTTACCCTCTCAGAATTGTGGTGGGCGAGGAAGAACTCTAAAAATTTCTACAAACAGAAATATAGTATCCAAATTCTTCTTTATTAAAGAAGAAATGTCTTCCAAATCCCACTGAATGCCATGCATCTTATGGACTGACCTCCCATCATAGGAGCAGTAATACTGGCTAACAGTGTTCTCAATACCACATGCTGACTTCATGCCATACTTTTATACTTGCAGGGCCCTGTGCCACGTAAGGGAGCTTTGGTGGCATACTCCATAGGAGCTGCTCTGCTAACCCGAAGGTCCCTCTCTGGTGGTATAAAGCCACTAGCAGCTCTATGGGAGAAAGACTGGCAATCTCCTCCCAAGCAACTTCAGCCAGGTAAACCAACCTGACAGGAGTGTGTGAGTTTTATGCCAGATATGCTACCTTCTTTCCTATAATGCTGTTAACTTTACCACACTGTCTTGTGACTTTGTAAAGTGAATTTCTAAGGGTTGTAAGTTCCAAAGAATCTGGAGCCTCCTTAACTTTTTAACCGCAATCCTAGTAACTCTGGGTGCCTAAAACCAGTGTAGGAATGAACAAGTAATACCTGCCTCCCGGAGCTCCTCAAAGGCAGGCTATCAGACTGGTCAAAAGATGCCTTTTTCTTTGTCCTTCCCCTCAAGGCTGCCATTGTAGAAAATCTGCAGAATCAAAAGAAAACTATTACATATTAGCATCTGGTGGCATGGTCTGCAGGGAGTGACAATGTTAACTCAACCGTTCTGCCTCTCTGATGGTTCAAAACTACCAGCAGTTCTGTGGAAGAAAGGTGTGTAATTTCTCCTTATGTGCAATTTACAGCCTCTGGAAACCCACTGGAGGATCAGCAATGAGTTGGTTCCAACTGGACAGCAGAGAGAGCTTGTGAACAATTTCAATGGAGTCCCTAAGTGGAACAAATGATCAGTGTGTTCAGCTGTTAAAAAGTGGGCAGTCTGAACACCCCCAGGCTTGCCTTGAAGGAAAGTCAGTCATTGAAAAAAACCACAGGAATGTCGTTCTATTCTGACACACATAGAGTTGCCTTGAGTGGAAACAGATCCAATGTTTTATTTTTTTTAAAATACTTCCAACACTCTGGCTACTACAGGAATACCTTGTCTTATTTTTTTCTAAAGACTTAAAAAAAAATTCAAATGTTCATGATAATTCTGCTTTGAGCAAGTCTGCAGGTACCATTTCCCTCCAACGCTGTACATCACTATGTAACATTTTTGGTAATTCTCACAACGCCAACTTCATTACTCTACTGCACGCTTAACTGATGACAATATGGTATAAACATTCACTTTTCATACGTGTTGGGAAAACAAACAATGTTTGTATGACTGTGGTGATAAGGGTTTCTTGTTCAAAATGGCTTTCCTAGACATTGACTTTAACTTTGCCATGTGGATAGGTGGGAATATGTGAATACAATGTGTTAGTCTACCCACAAGGGGACTCGCTAGTCTCACCCCTAAATCAGAATAGATTCAGCAGCAGAATTTGAGACTCTCAGCACAAGCAAAGATGAAGTAGGCACGTCAGGTGTGCCCTTCGGGTCCAGAGATTCTTGCACTAGCCAGACCGACAGGAGCAGCAGCAGATGCAGCAGAGGACTGAGACCTGACATGAGACAGGGTATTGCTACCATGGAACCAGATATACGAGTCTTTGCCCAAGTTTGCTGGAGGAATGTGGTGGGGTTGGAAAGATGCCATAATTAGCTAGGCTAAAATCTTTGTAACATTGGCCTAAAGCTATGAGGCTAAAGGCTGAAGATCCTATGAAATGTTTCAGAAACTGTCCTGAGAAACTGTATCCTACTGCCAACTGAAATTGTATCCTGTTAATTTCCTTAATAAACTTGCAATCATGACTATGGTTCTGTGTGCTCTGTTAAGCTATTACAATAGGTTTCAAACCTGGTAAAGCAGTAAAATTTGTTTTGGAATTAGTAGAAAGGTGCAGCACTCCTTGTTTTGGTTTTTTCCAATGAATTTATTGTGATAGTCACTGTACTGCAATGGTCTGGAACTGGATTCACAATGATCGGAGGTATATCTTTATGAAGCTTAGGAGGTAAGTATGTGTGTTCTACAGTTAGACTGCCCTAGTATGCAGCCACCAAATTCAAGTGACTTATAACACACTTTTTGAGCCTCATCATTCTTGTATATAAAATGAGTATAGTAAAAAAGTACATTGTAAGGTTGGTGAGGATTCACCTTTTTAAAAGCATTTAGAACCAGCCCTGGCATATCATAAACAGTTAAAGAGTTTGACTCAATAGCAGCATGCATGTTGGAAATTTTTTAAAAATGAGAAACACCAACATCTTGTCTTGATGAAAAATCTAAAGATTAGAAAAAAAGGAAAAAGGAAATCACTCAATAGGACCCAGGGCGTCTATGAAAAGTCAACAATCACATTACACTTAATGGAGAAAGACAGAGATTCCTTCCTGAAATAAAAAAAAAGCAGCAAGATGCCACTCTCACCACTTCTCTTCAATATCATATCAGAAGTTGTACTGAGAGTCATTAAGACAATAAAAAGAAATAAAAGCTATCAAGATTGGAAAACTATAATTATCTCTAGTCATGGATGACATATATTTAAAAACTCTCATTAGAGCAGTAAGTTCACTGTAAGTACACAGAGAAAATTTCTAGAGCTATTGGTGGAATTTAATAAAATTTCAGAGTTCATTCAACAATGGACAAATATTCTTTGGTCTCACTCACACAAAATTGGTACTCTAGTGGCTCAATGGTAAGGAGCTGTGTCTCAACCCTAAGGCACGTGGTTTGAATCCAACAGCTGCTTAAAAAATAGGCAAAGAAAAGATGGGTAAGCTCCTTCCATGGAATTAAACTGCCTCTAAAAACCCACTGGCAGGTCAACCATGAGATGGTTCCAACTAGAGGTATATAACAATAACACTTATAGAGAAAGTCAAGAAAATGTATAGAGATCAAAGTTTATTAGTTTTTACCTGGATTGGGAGGGTGTGGAATATGGGCGTGCTTAATGGTGACTTTTAAAAAACAATCATATTAAGTAAGGGTAGTGTTGCACAGTTGATTATTATAAAGGATGTCAACTGGCTAAACACCTGTAAACAAAACTGATCTGGTAAAAGTTACAGGATATATTTACAATTATTAAAAAAAAAAAGCTGAAGCTGTACTTCCTTGGTTTGGAAATTTAAGGTCATGGCTTCAAGGGATATCCCTGCTAACTGGCCTAATAAGGCATTTGATGCTTCTGTTCTACTGTCTAGTTTACTATATAGTGCCCGGGACCTTAAAAGCTTCTGAGTAGTCATCCAAGGCACAATAATTCGTCATCCCACTTGAAGCATCAGAGGAAGGGAGTCGGGAATGTTGAGGGGCTGTTGAGGAGACAACAGACTAGAATCCTGCCCTCTCTTGTGCCATCCTCCTCATCTCTGACATCCATGAACTCATTCCCATATTCACTGGGTCAATTCATCTGGTTGAAGGTCTTCTTCTTTTTCATTAACCTTACTATGTACTGTTGAGCCAGAACCATCTCATAGCTGACACTCCACCAGGTTTTCAGAGGCTGTAAATTGCATGGGAGAAGACTGTTAATCTTTCTCCTGAGGAGTACCTTGTGGATTCGAACTAAGTGCCTTCAGGTTGGCAACGCAACTCTTTACCACTAGGTCACCAGAGCTTATACAGCTAGTTGCCTTTGAACAACTACTCCTTTGCCATGAGACTAAAACTGGATGATGCCCAGCTATCATAAGTAAATATTTTGTTCAAAGATTTCACACAAGAATCCCAGGATTAGATAGGAATCTCATGGGACAGAAAATCCATGTTAATAAGAAGAATAATTCCAAAAAGGAGGGTAGGAATGGTTGCACAACCCAAAGAATGTAACACATGTCCTAAAGTGTACATGGACTGTGCATTTCTGGCTGTATTTGGCAGTCTCTTTATACTGTTGACTAAGCTTTCTAAGCTTGATCCCAGTATGTCTCTTATGAACTTTATAGTTTGGGGCTTTACTTCCAAGTGTCTGATCCACTTTCAGCTGATTTTTGTGTGTGGTGTAAGATGTGGATCCTGTTTCAGCTTTCTGCAGGTAACAGTTCAGTTTTGCCAGCACCATTTGTTGCGGAGGCTGTCATTTCCCCATTTGATAAGTTTTACCTCCTTGTCGAATACCAGTTGACCATAGAGAGATGGATCTATTTCTGTGTTCTTAATTCTGTTCCACTGGTCTATCTGCCTGTCATTGTACCAGTACCAGGCTGTTTTGTTTACTACTGCTGTGTAGTAGGTTTTAAGATCAGGGAGTGCTCTGCCTCCTACTTCATTTTTGTTTCTCAGAAGTGTTTTACTTATTTGGCGTCTCTTTCCTCTCTAAATAAACTTGACAATTTCTCTTCTGATTTCCTTGAAAAATGAATTTGGTATCTGTGTTGGGATTATGTTGAATTCCCAACCACAAAAAATGGATTGAGTAGTTGGTGGTACATTCACACATGGAATACAACACAGGACACAGGAACAATGATTTTATAAATTACTGCCTAACTTGGGAGGGACTGGAGATCATTATGCTGAGTGAACTAACTCAGTCCCAGAAAGACAAATATTGTATAAAACTATTATTGTAGAATGAGTATAAAGATCTAATGGAGGGGGGGGAATGGTTGAAGTAGAGGGATGAGGATGGGTGGAGAGGTAAGATGTTAATCATAGGGGTTGCACAATTCGATGGGTGGGTGGAATGAAAGAAATGGGAAGGATATTTTGTGAAAAACAATGTATTCAAACTTTGTAAATAAATCAGTATAAAATTTTAAAAAATAAAGTGTACATGGAGAAAATGCTGGACAGGTGTGTTTTTCTGTGTATATTCTCAACAACCAAATAATATTTGGGGGTGGGGGGCGGGTATAGAGAACACACCAATAAATAAATTACACCAGAGCCTAAAATGGAGTAAAAATGTCTAGCTTTGTGTGCTGTGGTCCTCTTCATCTTTCTGTGTCTTCTTAATTCTTAAATTCTCATTTCTTCTACTTAAAAAAAATCCATTTATTTTTCAGGAAAACACAGTTAAAAAAATCTTACAGCAGTCATTTCATTACAACTTGACTGTAAAAATCTGGGTTAGACAGAAGGTCTTATGTCTTCTACATGTAAGCATTTTCCAAGTGGTCTCACAATAGCATAGTTAGTCATTAGAAAACACCCACAGGATAAATGGGGAGTTCTGGTGTCCAGCTCATGGGACGTTTCACTGATAAATAATCCAAAGGCCATGCCCCTCTCTCTCTGGTGGTCTGAGTCTACCAGCAACTCAGCAGAAGAAAGATGGGCTAAATCCTGAGTGATTTACAGTAGCAGAAAAGCACCTGGAGGGTCAGCTCTGAGTCAGTTCAAACTCCATAGCAATGGGAATTTTTGAAACAAGAGAAATAATGCATGTTGTTGTTGTTGTTTACCGTCGAGTGAGAACCAACTCACAGCTGATATTCTGGTGGGTTTTCTGAGGCAGTTAATCACACTGGAGGAAACTGCCTATCCTTCTCCCGCAGAGTGGCTGGTGGCCTCTAAGTGTGGTGCCTTCAGGACAGCAGTGCACAGCAACCAGATTAAG